TAAGTAGATAAGATATGGGGATGTGGGCAAAATAATATCAGTATTGTCATGTGCAGAATTGATACTAACCAAGAACTCCAGGACCACCATGATCAGAATAGTAAATGAAAATATGATCGTTTGGACCGCTGTCCACAACCTTCCCAGTACCCCCTGTAAGAGCAGTTTTATTTCCAAGGATAGCAGCAAAAAAGTTGTTAACAGTAACATCATCGCCGGTGTAATCCTGCCACCATAAAATCGACCGCATGAGGGGAATTATAACTATCAATTCAAAAGCAGGTAAACACCTAAAGGGGAATTATAACTATCAATTCAAAAGCAGGTAAACACCTAAAGGGGAATTATAACTATCAATTCAAAAGCAGGTAAACACCTAAAGGGGAATTATAACTATCAATTCAAAAGCAGGTAAACACCTAGAGGGGAAGATAACACACCTTTGGGACTCCTTTGTAAACGTCATCACCATGTGGGCTGTTAATGATGACTCCAGGCCTAGGGTTCTCTTCGTTATAAGCGATATCATCATACATGAATACAACAATGTTTTCATCTTTCAGCCCACCTTTTTTCAGTAGTTGATAGGCATGGCAAATATCAGCCTAAACAAACAAGATAAAAAGGTCCGTGTTAAACATCAATCAAGAAATGAGGGTGGCTTAGCTTTCAAATATGTGAAACCAATAAGATATTTATTGACATTCATATGAAGATTTAGACACAACAAAAGTATCAATTTCACCCGTGACACAGAAATCCAGCTTCTATACAAATATGGTTAACGTTGAGATCATGTACTCCATGTCAAAGTTTCAAACTGAGATGAGATCAAGGAATATAATAATTAATAAAACGAACTTGAACTAAATGCTTATGAGTTCCAAAACAAACTCAAGCCACATGTAAATTTAAAACTCTGTCTTAGTCAAAATGAGATGAGCATGAGATCAAGGAAGATAAGAAAGACACAAGCTTGAGCTAAATTCATATTAGTTCCAAAACAAACTCAAGCTTCCAAAATTTAGTTTGACAAATTCGAAAGCAACAAGGTAAAAGAATCAGAAATTGGATAAGATGAAAGTCAAATTTAAACGAGGTTATACAAGCATAAACTTTCCAATATTTGGTCACCCAAATTCAGATATCAAACAATTCAAAAAACATGAAGGGAAAAAAAATTGAAATTAACATC